GCGCGGCGCCCCCCGCCCCGGCCGCTCTCCGCGCCGGCCGGCCCCTCGGGACGCCCCCGCCGGGATGCCCGCCGGCCGGGCCGGGTCGGGCCGGGCGGGGAGGGGAGGTCGGGGGTTGTGCAAAGTCGCAGCGCCTCCTGTTGTCCGGTTGCGGCTCGGGCTCGGCTCCCTCTTCCCAAGGGTGCTCCCAGAGGTGAGAGCAGAGGCGGGCTCCTGCCTGCAACCTTAGAGAGCCTTTCGGCTCGGTGTGCAAACCGGCAAGCCCCAGGCAGAGTTAGCCGTTCCTGGAACTCCCTTCAGCCCGGGTTGCTGTGTTGCAGCCCCGGTGGAGAAAAGCCTTCCTTGCGTGAAGAGGAGGGTCACGACGGCTCTGCCCACGACCACGGGAAAAAGAGGGTATTTCGGTAGTTGCCCTTGCCCTGCACTTGAGCCTCTGCGAAACTCTAGTGTGGGATGCTCCGAGAGTCCAGCGCGATTTGCCCGTACCCTTTGCAGCAGGCTCAGCGGGAAGGGAGAGACTTTCCTAGGATGGAGGACGCGCGATAGCAGCCGGGAGCTCTCCACACGCGTTTAGCTGCTTAAGCGTTTTCTAGACTTGACGATGGCAGCCCTGGCCTGATTTATAGAGAGCCTTTCCCCAGCTCTGGTTAGAGTAGCGCCAGTTTCTGATCAAGCTGTACACTGTTTTTTTTCTTTCTTTTTTTTTTTTTTTTCGGGGGAGCTGTTTGTACAGCCTGGAGAAAAGCGCCGGCTGAGGTGAGCTGTATTTTCCCTGTCTAAACGGGAGCAGGGTCTCAGCTCCTGGCTCCACCGGTGCGTGCTGCCAAGGAGGCAAACAGAATAACTGACCTAAAAGAGGAAAGTATGCGTGTGTGGTTTGGGCGTGTGCGGAGCGGGGGGAGGACGTCCACGGGAGCCCGTGTTACCAGCTCTGGCAGTGAGAGCTGGGCCCCGCAGAGGCCGTGCAGCAAGCGGCCACTTTTTGGGAAGCGCATCGCTGCGGGGTCCCGGCTGTCAGGCCGGGCCGAGGGGCCTCGCCCGTGGGAAGGGGCCTCCGGCAGCGCCGCGGGTACCGGAGCCGGCACCGGCGCGGCGCTGCCCACGCGGGGAGCCGCCACGGCCCGGGAGCTCGTCGGCGCCCCTTGCCCAGAGCTGCTCGTGAGCGCCGCCCGCAGGTACTGTCCCACGCGTGGGGCGGGCGGCCGTAGGAATCGGCGGGGGCTTCAATTTTAACTGTGGAGCGCTGTTCCAGTTGGCTCCGGCGTAAGAGCTACTTTTCCCCCGGCAGGGGCAGGGCCTGCCGGCCACCCCTTCGGTTTAATTTGCAGGGTCTTAATTGATTTTACCTGTCTCCTGGCCGGGAATCTCTGGCAGTGCTTGTGCGGGAAAGCTCGGGAAGGAGCAGCGAGGTTCCCTCCGCATCAGGGTGCCTTCCCTGCTCCTCACTGCACAGCCTTCTTTTCTTTTCCCCGGATCCGTCTCCTGCAGAGGGTCGCTGGTACCCGGCTTTCCGGGCGGGCCCAACCCTGCGCAGCGGGTCGCCTCAAACGCCGTGGGACCCCTCAGCCTCTCCCTGTCCTCACTCATCCACCCCTCCCGACGGTGGGGAATCCCTCTTCCCGTCTGCTTCCGACCCGAAATCCTCCCCCACCCAAGCGGGCAAACAGTAATGGGGTGGGAACGGGCCGCTGCCCAGAGCCGAGTCCTTCGGACGGGGTGGGAGGCCGGGCAGTCCTGGGCCGCCCCGGGAGCGGGGTCCGTGGCGGGCGGGAGCGCCCCTCGCTCCGAAGGGAGCCCATCGAGACGGTGGCGGAGTCGGGGGCTCCTTGCCCTCCCTCACACTGGCAGAGCCGCCCCGGCTCTGCGCTCCTGCCGCTGAGCCCTCATCGAGAAGAGCCGGCGGGCTCCCCTCCCACCGCCCCGCCCGGGCTCCCGCTGCCCCGAGGCCCCCCCCGGCCCAGGCCCCCGGAGTTCACCGGCCGGTGCCACGCGGTAAGGCGGCGTTTTCCTTCCTCCCTCTCGGGAGCAGCGCCCGGGCAGGTGAGGGCACCGCGTGGGGTCAACACTTGCTTCGGAGCCTTTGCTGCGTGAACTTTTCTTATCTCCGACCGTGAAGGCCAAGCGACCCCCTTCCCCCGACCGACCCGAGGTAGGAGGGGGGCACCCCTGCCCTTTCTGCGCCTCCTCCTCCCCAGGACCCGCGGTCTGGATCCTCCTGGGCGGACTAGACGTGCCCTGCCGCAGGGAGGGCCGGGGGGACGCAGCCCTCACCCGCCGGGCCCTGCCTCCCCGCTGCCTGCTTCTGGGCCGCCGGTTCTCCGCCC